GGACTCCCGCAGTCTGTCCCACAAGGCCGGAACTCCTGGACGCTTTTCTCCACGGAGGGGCAACTGCCGGTTCGTCAGTGCGCATGGCGATGACTCCCACTCCTGCAGGTGTCCCAGGGGGAGCAACCTCAGTGTGAGGGATGGGGGATTGCAGCCTGTCTCTTCCTGGGCGGGGACGGGGATGCACCTGCTTAACTCTGACTCTTCTCCGTCCCTGCAGCCGGGCACCTGGCATGAACTAGTACAGGGGCCAATAAGGTCCATGGTCAGGACCAGCTTTGGGGGGAGGGGCCCTGGGACCTCTCACACCTGCATAGATACCTCCCCAGGCACTCTCTGTGCGCACACAGACCTCTAAACTGCAGCTACCGGGCGCTCTTTATTACCTCCCCATTACTCTGTTTAAATCTTGGACATTTATTTGAAAGGGAGCAGTGTATAAATAGAATAGTCACTATGAATGAAGACAAAGCTGGGTGCAGTCCAAAGTTTGTTGTTTTTCAGAGGAGCTTCACTGGAGCAGCTAACTTGGGTAAGGGTCCCCTTACTTGAAACAGCTTCAATTCCAAATATATTCAGGGGCTGCTATGGAGTTGGGCTAATTCATGCCAGTCAATCATACAGTTTGTGTTGGGGAGATGTACATATTTCTGCTTAGGTTGTTGAAATACAGAAGCCTCTTTCATGCCTCTTCCTTGGAGACAGCAGAATGTCTGGAAAAACAGCCTGGACCTCAGGACCCTCTCCTTGAGAGAGGACTTTGATGAACACAAATACTCTCGGTGCTACAGACACAGCTGGGGAAGCTGCTCAGCTACTGGTATGCTGCCCAGCAACCTGGTCTTCATGAACAAACCTGCATATGCTACAGTGTTCATGTCTTCTCATTGCCAATTATAATGATTTTTATTCAGTGAACATGTTTCCCCCCAATTTCTGGTGGAAAAACTTCACGGCTTTTTACAATAGAACTGTATTGCTAATGGTTTGCGGAAGAGATGTCCTTATCTGGGTCAGAGGAAAACTCTCTGCTGCAGGAAGCAGGTTCCCTCTAACCAATGCCCTGAAAGCTGCCATCAGAGTCCACATGTCAGTGAGTCCTGGCATGTGGCTGTGATCTTATGAGTTGGTCCTGGTGCAAAGCACAGCTCCCTTCTGAGTAGCTGTGTGACCCTGAGGATGTGGCCTCACACCCATGAGCTTCACTCTGAAAGATGACGATGGGGAGTAAAAGTGATAATTTAACACGTATGCTATTAACAATGATGTTGGCATTGTTAGATATTCTCATCCCCTCTAGTAGTGTCATTTCCTTTTCTAGGATCCACAAAGGACCTGTGTGAGCCTCACCTCTGATGGCCCAGGGAACCCCTGCTCTGGCCCTGCCCTGACATGTCACACCTGTGAGGCAGGGGCAGGTCCTGCACCCTCAGCACAAGGTCCTCACACACACTGACTGAGTCAGACCCCTTTGTCTCTGAAAGGCACTTTCCTCCATATCATTTCATGATCATAGCATTGATCACCCCCTTGTTCCACCTGGATATTCAAACATATTAGTAAAAGGAATTATTATAAATAAAGAAAAATCTCCCACTCTGAATGTAGGTGATGGGACAATCGCCCAGAAGTTATGGGAGCCAAAATACTAACACAAATCTGGGCTCCTGTGTTACAGCTGAAGATCTGGACCAAGGTGCTATAGGACACTGGAGGGGAGAGACAGACCCAGCATTTAGATCAAGGTGATACGTTGCTTACCTGGCGGTCACTAAGTCCATGATTTAAACATATGGGAAAGGTCTGTCCTTCCTTAAGCAGGGGGTGTGTGTTTTCAACTTGGAGTGACAATGTTATAAGTTACTGCTCACAGAGAAGGAAATTGTGCATATGTCCCTTTGTGTGGATAGGTTGCCAGTGTGTGTTCATCTCCAGGGAATAGAAAACTATATCTACTGTAAAGAAAAAGCAGATCTTGTGACATTCGTAGATATTATTAATTCAACTGAGGCTGGACACTGGATCATGTTATAATGCTTGGGGGAGGCCTAGTAGAAAAATAAGTCATTATAGATATTTTTAGGTTATTAAATATGAAATGTTGAATTTCAAATAAAATTATAGTTTATTATATTTCAAATAATAAGCAGTACAACTAACCAAAGTATGTTCCTAAACTATCAACACAGTTTTGTAGTCTTACAGGTAGCTTGTTTATGCCACCCGCAAGGAAGCCTGGAGAGCAAGTGGCGATGAAATCACAAAACTCACTTTCCACAGCTTGTTGAGAATTGAATATTTTTTCTTTCAAGATATGATCCAAATCCAAAAACAAGTGCTAGTCAGTTGTTGCAAGGTCTGGTGCATATTGTGGCTCACAGAGTGTCCAAGTCCAGCTGGTGTAGTTTGAGCAGTGTCGTTTGTGCGGCATGTACTCAAATGTTGTCTTGCAAGGGGACTGGCCTGTCTCTGTTGACCAGTCTCAGGTGCTTCATCACAAGAATTCTCATCATTTCATCAAATCGGTTGCAGCAGACATCGCTGTAATTGATTGACTTCACATATTAAACTGTTATTTTTTTTCTCTCTTTTTCTTTTTTTTTCTTTTATTTCAGCATATTATGGGGGTACAGATTTTAAGGTTTCAATAAATGCCTTTCCCCCCCACAAGTCTGAGTCTCCAGCATGACCATTCCTCAGATGGTGCGCATATCACTCGCTATGTATGTATATACCCCCCCCCCGCCCCCTCCCCAATACCCTATTACTGTAGTACCGTATGTGTCCACTTAGGTGCTACTCCAGTTAATACCAGTTTGTGGAAATATATCTGGTGCTTGTTTTTCCATTCTTGGATAGTCACTTAGTAATATGGGTTCAAGTTCCTAACCAGGAAATATTAAGATGTGTATATCACCATTGTTTCTTAGAGCTGAATAGTACTCCATGGTATACATATACCACATTTTATTAATCCCTTCTTGAATTGATGGGCACTTGGGCTGTTTCCACATAAACAGTTATTTTACATTTGCTGTGTGACAACTTCAGACTATGGGCAATACCTGAGTCTGGTCATGAAGAGGGGAAGGACCTCTTCCTGGAGTCACAGTAAGTCTCTGGGGAAGATGGTCCCTGAGAGTAGGCTTTGGTGTGGAGAAGCTCTGGGTGTCCTTCCGGATGTTTCTATTGCCCTGCCTCCCAGACCTGCATGTTGTCTCTGTGGGTCCCTGAGTAGAGGAACTAGTGGCTGTGGGAGAGGTGGGTGGTCCCAGCCTCATGCTGTGCCAAAATCTGCCTCCAGCAATTCAACAAACTTGTAATGAAGATTTGTGGTAACTAGTTTGTGGTTCCTGCAGCCTATTCAGGAGGTAAGGAGGTCTGAGATCTGTCTTTGGATGCACCCACCTCTTCCCTATTCAGTCTGGTGCCTTGCCTTGAGAACTCAGCTCTGTGATAGGTTCATCATTTATTTAAAGTGGTGAACGATGATGCACTTTACATCAGCTTAAGCTGAAACTGGAATTCTGGTTATTTATTTCTGAATGCCCAATAGCTACCCCTGTCCCTATTCTGTTATCTATGAACCAAATTGCTGTGCTGATGTGCCTGTACCATCCTCAGCTTCCAGCAGCCCAGTGCACACTGGTAGCTGCATCTTGCCACAGCCTGCATTGTATATGGCAGCCTCTGCCCCAGAGCAGCTTGTTCCCTGGCTCTGTCACTTCCTGCAAAACTCATCACTGCCCCATCTCAGGTTAGATTTTAGTGTTATAGCATCAATTATATGAAGTATTAAATAATGTCTGCAAAATTGCAACTACTTCAGTTTGTTGTTTTCAAAGTTGTTCTAAGAATGAAATAATAAAAAAAAATGTTTCTCACCGTGTACAGCTTCAAGCTGAGTAACAGATTTATTTGTAAGACCCATAAAATTTAAGTATTATATGTCGATCAATATCTTATCAGAAAAAGACACTGCAAATGTGTTCATTGGAATAATATGCCTTGTTAACATCTATGAACATTTGATACACACCACAGCATGACTATGTTTGCTGGTCTTTATGCTGAGTTATTAAGAGTACACACTACATTATACCATTTTTATGTATTCTAGAGCTTAAAAAGTAAAGTAGTTTAAACAAGATCAACATATGCCTCAGGTAGTCATAGAAGAAAGTTAGTGGAAAGAAGGGAAAACAGAAGAAGAGATGGAAACATTACCAAGAACTGATTTTCTCACTGTCTTCATAATGATTGTGGATGTGTCAATATTTGTCAATTGCACACTTTAAATATATGAAGTTTTCCCCATGTCAATTATACCTCATCAAACTTATTTCATATAAACAATAAAATATTATTGGTAAGAAATCGTACAAAGATAATATGTTACATGTCCAAGCACCCTAAAAATTCTACAGCATCAAGCCTAGGCCTCTGCATATGTTGGAGTAAAGTCTAGGTGTGGAAAATCACACATGTTCTCATTACAGAGTTCGTGAATCCCCACTAGGCATGTTCAGCTCTGTGCGGCAGCTGGTTCATGGGTCAGGTGTGTCCAGTGCTGAGCGGCACAGGCTCAGATACCAGAACTCACTTTTAACAGACACGAGCTCCTGACCCATTACACAGGCTCTCCATGCGCTGGGGTGGCCCTCACATTTGTAACATGGAAAAAACATGGACGGTCACAAAACATGATCATGTCCATGTGTCAATAGAAAATATGATGACAGATGCTAAGTATTGATCACATTGCAATCTAGTCAGAAGAATTTATGTTGTATCAAATGTTAACCTTGTCATACACCTGCCCCCAGACACTCACTTGTGACCTGGGCCAGCTCTGTTCTCAAGTGTCCCACACAGAGCTTTTTATATAGCAGGAGACATGCAAATAGGGCCCTCCCTCTGCTGATGAAAACCAGCCCAGCCCTCACCCTGCAGCTCTGGGAGAGGAGCCCCAGCCCTGGCATTCCCAGGTGTCCCCGTTTTGTGATCAGGACTGAACACAGAGACACCATGGAGTCTGGACTGAGCTGGGTTTTCCTTGTTGCTCTGTTACAAGGTAATTCATGGACAACTAGAGATATTTGTTGTGTGAGTGGATGTGAGTGAGAGTAACAGGGGTGTGTGTGGCATTTCTAACCAGGATGTGTCTGTTTTTGCAGGTGTCCAATGCGATGTGCAGCTGCTAGAGTCTGGGGGAGGCTTGGTCCAGCCTGGGGGTTCCCTGAGACTCTCCTGTGCAGCCTCTGGATTCACCTTCAGCAGCTACTGGATGAACTGGGTCCGCCAGGCTCCAGGGAAGGGGCTGGAGTGGGTCTCACGCATTAATACTAATGGTGGTAGCACATACTACGCAGACAGTGTGAAGGGCCGATTCACCATCTCCAGAGACAACGGCAAAAACATGCTGTATCTTCAGATGAACAGTCTGAAAGCTGAGGACACGGCCCTGTACTACTGTGCAAGAGACACGGTGACAGGACATCAGTGTGAGCCCAGACACAAACCTCCTGTGGAGGCCAGTGGGGCCACCAGGGGGTTGATCCCCAGTGCCTGAGCAGGTGCTGAGGGAAGCTGAGGTTTCCTTCCAGACCTTGCTGTTTCCTGTCTCTCTGCCTGTTCTTAGTCTTCCTCAAGACTCATGGTGTTTTTTTTTCCTGCAATGTCCTGGGCTCTTTCATCTACAATTGGATGGCTTCTGACCTGTTTTTAATACAAACTTAAGCCTTATTTTATTTCAGTTATTTGCTGTTGATAAATTTTCAATAGTATCCTTACAGTAAGGAAACATCCACAATCCTCTCTAGAGTCATGAAGGGTTTTGTGTTTGCTATATGCTGTGTTGGTCATTGAGGAGCAAACAGTTGTCTGGAGACATGGCTCTGTATGTGCTGGGGGTTTGTTTATCCCCTGCCTTTTGTGGGGAAGAACCATCATTTCAGTGGGTCCTCCCCTCTTCCTGGCTACTGGTTATCCATCCTGAGATGAGTCCTTCCCCTCATTGTTCTGTCAAAGCTCCTGGTCTGCATGGACATCCACACAATGGGGCAGCAAATCCTTTTGTCCCTCTCTCATGCCTGCTGAATCAGCTCCTTCTCCTCATTCTCACTGAAGCCAGATGTGTTCCTGCCATTGACCATGCACCCGGCAACACCCTGGTCTGGGTGGCAGCACCCCACCCTGGTTCTTGTCTCAGGAGTGGAGGAATAACACCCGCCTTGCACACCTGCCTCTACTTGTGTGGCAGAGTGAGCACCGTCTGCTCTCCCTGGGGGTGCATGGCAGGGGCTGGTCAGGAGGGGCCTTGTCTCTGTGCACCTGCCCCCTGGACTTAGACTCAGGATCATTCTGTCAGCAAGGTGCAGGGTCCTAGGGTGGTGGAACATGGACCCAGCCTGAGAGCCTTCTGCAGCCTGGGCTGTGAGAACTATTGGTAAACCCTGGTTTTCAGAAAGGACGCTATTCTCATAAATAGGAAATAAACCAACTCAGAGCTTAGAACTCAATGTCATCGTACTTGCCAATCCTACATTTGCCAGTGACGGCATTAACCTTTACTTGTACCAGAATATGTATTTTAATATATACAAATATTGAGATTGGAATAGACAGACTTACACATACAAGAATATGATTTTCAACCACAAACTCATACTACAGGTAAAATTGTAGTTAAATTAACAACAACAAAAAAATAACACAGGAGACACTCTTCAAAATCAAGCAAGTGGGGGTGCAGGAGGGGATGCGTGAATTCACACCTACTGTGTACAGTGCACACTGTCTGGCTGATGGGCAAATTATAACTTTGACTCACTGTACAAAAGCCATTCATGTAACCACAATGTAACCCTGTAATATTCTGAAATATAATTCAATAAATGAACTAATTAATGAATGAAAATACAGAGAAAAGTGTGTTTTGAATGGGAAATTTATGTTAGTTTTTTCACATGCATATGTATGCATTGGGGCTATGTGTGTGTTTTGTGTGTGTGTGTGTACAAGTTCATCCGACAAGAGGTGCTCTGAGGTTCTTGTATCTGTGATTCACGTGTCTGCCATTAGGTCTGGAACATGAGTGACCAGCACCTCTTCAATATGTATGTTTCTCCTCTATTACTTTGACTTTTGGTATTCCAGTTATGTCTATATTATGCTCTGTGATATCGATGTTCTTTTACTTCTCTGTTTCTCCCTTTGCATGTTATGCTGTGTAATTGATTGGGCCTATTTCCAAGGCCATGGTTTCTTTGAAAGGTGAGGCCACTCTGCTGATGTGCCTGAGAGATGCTTGTTTACTTCTCACTGCAAAGTGCTCTGCGCATTTCCATCCGACTCTGTTAATACCCATCTCTCTGCTCAAGTCAGCTGCCTGGTTTTGTAGCATGGCTATACTCACCTTTGCACATCTTAAGATATTGATTACAGTTACTTTCACATCCCTTTTAAATCAGACAGTTCTTCTGTCTGCATTATGTATGAACCTCATTTTGAAAATTTATCATTACGATTTATTAAATTCTATTGCCATACCCTCTAATTTTTTTTTATATATAAGGCAGAGATGTTGGATTTCATGGTTGTTTTTGGCTTATTATTTTATGTACATTTCTTCCTGTATAGGACCACACCTGTATTTCCTAGGCATATACTATGGAAGCCTTGTGAATCTACTCAGGTCTGCATTTGAAGTTTATTGATGCCATGGCTCCTTGTGTTAAAGGTGTTCTCTGCTCTGACCACAAAGGATGTAGGGTACCCTCCAGAGATACCCTGCTTTTGTTTCCTATTTGGCTCTGTGTTCTGACCTTTTGTTTTCCTAGAAACAACTATTTTCGTCTTCCCAAGGTGAATTCTAGTTTTAAATTTACCGGACAGTGGTCAACACGGTGTAAAAGGTTGATTGACATAGCATACCTTGACTTTCTCACTGAGTCAAATTCCTCAGCGAATGTAATGCCCCTTGACACAGTGACCTCTTCCAGACATCCCTGTTCCTCCTCCAGATGAGACATTGTTCTATGAATTCCCTCCCTCTAGGGTAGAGTATCTTCTTGCTTCTCCCTAAGTCTTCTCTACTGCAGCTCAGGAAGATCAGCCAATCTTCTTAGCTTCCAAATATGCTGCACTTCGAATAGATTAAGGTTTCAAATCCATATGATGGAGAGGAAGTGTGGTTCTGAAAAGAACATCAGTGGGGACGTCTGTCCCCTCCCAGTTCTTAAGTGTTCCTCCACTGTCCCCAGGATAGAGGTTTAGGTGGTTTCCTCCCTGAAGATTAATACTTTAGTTCCGTATTTGTGAGGTCGGTCTGGAGGCATTTCAGAATTACATTCTTCCTCTCTCCCACACACAGTTATCCGGGGGTGGGGGTGGGGGGAGGGCATATTGTGATGTGTCCCCAGTGCTACATAAAAAGGCTTTGAAGGAAATAAAGTAACAATACCCCAACTAGGTACCACTAGAAGGCTCAGACCATAAAATATTGACTACTCTCTATTTAAAGCGATCAAGTGCATATTTCTAACTCAGTCTAGTCCTGTTCTGTATGTTATCACCCTGGTGGCCTCTTTTAAAGATTAGCAAATATTCTGGTCCCGTATCTCCCAGTAAGAACTTGTCTCTGTACAGGTTTCAACTGTTTTATTTGTCATAGAACTTCTGTATCTGAAGTATTGAACAAAAAGTGCTAATCTGCAGCATGTCCAGAGCTGTTGGTGTGGATGAATATGATGATTGCAGTGATGATGTTTTTGGTCTTCCTGCTGTAGAAGAAGATCTGTGTTCTCTGCTGCCTACTTATTCCAGTAGAGTAGTGGCTTTATCTATATGACCAAGGTATTAGAAAAAACTCAAATACCAGTCAGTATCTTATTAAACATGCAAGCTTTGGTAAATGTATTCATTGGAATGTCACTCATTATTAATAACTGGACATGCTGTGCTTGGTAAAAACTACAACATTGTTGCATTCACAGTAATTTATGTTTAATAAGAGAAACCAAATTACATGATTCTACTTTTATAAATTCTAGAAAATGAAAACTAATATAAAGTGACATAAAATAGATCAGTAATTTCCTCTGTGAAAGGCAGGAGAAGAGAAGGGAAGAAGAAGGAGAAATTTCAGAAAAAGCGTAAGAGCAAATATTGACAAGAATTGAATTGTTCACTGTCTGGCACATAGTGATGACTATGTCAACATTTATCAAGTGTGAACTTTAAATATGTGGGTTAGTGTATGTCGTTTGTATCTAATTAAAGTTAATGCAAGTAAACAAATGTATGATTTTGCAGGGAAAGCATGAAGACAAGAGAGATAATGACACATTCAACAGTAGAGACTCTGGAAATCACATCTGTCTTCCGCCTGCATGTAGGGGAACCCAGGACCTCTCAATATATTTAGATAAACATTAGAATGTAGCAGGATCACAAGTGTTCCCACTTGAGAAAAGGGGCTGTGAAACCACCAAAGCCATGGCAAGTTCGACCCTGGAATTGTTGCAGGAAGAAGTCAGATCCAGTGGTGAGGAACACAGGCCCAGAAACCAAAGCTCACTCTAACTAGATGTGAACTCTTAGATGCATCATATAGAGACTCCAACCTGATGGGTTTGCTTTTACATATGTAGATGGAGAAAATGTGGACACCTACAGATCAAGACTAATGTTCGAATGAAAATTAGTTATGCTAATGTTAAATAACTGTTATTCATAGTCCCATCACTCACTATCATCCCTAAGGCGTCCCAGTCCCATCTGAGAGCTTACTATATAACAGAGGACATGGAAATAGGGCCTGCCCTCTGCTATTGAAAACCAGCCCAGCCCTCTCCCTGCAGCTCTGGGAGAGGAGCCCTTGCCCCAGCATCCCCAGGTGCTCCCATTTGGTGATCAGGACTGAATGTAAAGACACACTATGGAGTCTGGGCTGAGCTGGGTTTTCTTTGTGTTTCTGTTAAAAAGTAATTAATGGAGAACAAGAGATATTGGGTGTGTGAGTGGATTTGAGTGAGAGAAACAGTGTGTATGTGACAGTTACTGACCAGGATGTGTCTATTTTTGCAGGTGTCCAGTGTGAGGTGCAGCTGGTGGAGTCTGGGGGAGGCTTGGTCCAGCCTGGGGGGTCCCTGAGACTCTCCTGTGCAGACTCCAGATTCACCTTCAGCAGCTATGAAAAGAATTGGGTCCGCCAGGCTTCACGGAATGGGCCAGAGTGGGTCTCAGCCATTATACCTGTGGTAGCACAGGCTACACAGATGCTGTGAAGGGATGATTCACTGTCTCCGGAGAAAACAGCAAGAACTTGCTGTATCTGCAAAAAAACAGTCTGTGAGCCAAGGACACAGCCTTGACCTTGTGTGCCAAAAGCTCAGTGAGGGGACAAAAAACCTCCTGCGTGGGCGCACGGGGCCACTAGGGGGCGCACAGTACACAAGGAGCAGAGTCTGCCTAGGGCAGGTGCAAGTGGAGGGTAACAGCTGGTTTCCTCTCAGTGTCCTGGCTTCCTATCCATAAAAAAATTTTCTCTCGGAAACTTCTCTGAATTTATGAGTCTGTGTTTCTCTCTGCAGTCTCTGAGTTAGACATGTTTGTGGTAATGAGAGAAAATATTCTCACCTGTACAAAATGCAGTGAGTTGCTTCCAATTACTTTGTCTCGTGCCCAAATGTGCATTAATTATCAACCCTTGGGAATAATT